CAATTGAAGTTTGTAGTCCTGACTTTCACATCAGCCACCATGATGAAACTGCTCACCCTCACACCTTTCGTTGCCGCCGTCGTAGCATCTTCGCTGCAGTTGGGGGACGTAGAGATCTTCGCCCGTCAAAATGATCCGATCACCTCCTTAGTCAATGATATCACAACCCTCACCAAGAGCGTTGTCGATCTAGGCGACACTGTTGGCGGCTTTACCGGAATATCTGAAGCTGGAACTGTTGCGACCAAAGCACAAACCGTGCAGGACAACCTGCAAACCGCTGCAGACAATGCGAAGAAAGCTCCAACGCTGGATAATAATGGTGCTCTCGCGTTGGCTGGTACGTTGCTCATCTCGCTTCTCCGCCCGAGTGTCACATGCTGATTTTTTATGAGTAGTACCTGCCCAAGCCCTGAACGAGGCAGTCGTCTCGACACTAGACAAGATCACTGCCAAGAAGGATGTATTCGCTTCTGCCAGCCTGACAAGCGTTGTGGCCCAGCTTCTCGAAAAGGACAACCAGCTTGCGGGAGACTATTCTACAGCTTTGTTCAGCAAAGTCCCCGCGGAGCTGAAGTCCACCGCCATGAAAATCGTACAGCCCTCCTTAGACAAGCTGCAAAAGACAGTCGATGATTTCAAGGCTGCCGCCGGTGGCAGCATGAGCTCTGGAAGCTCGAGCGTTATGAGTAATGTCACCCCACGAACTTATGTTTAATATAACATGAACGCTAATCTTGTAGCTAGCCGCGAGCGCAGCAATGTCGAGCGCTTCTTCCTCCGCGGCAGCCGGTATGACTTCGATGTCCTCAATGATGCACAGTAGCTCCATGACTGGTACGGCAACGACTAAGCCAACAGCTTCTGCCACCACCACCCCCAAGGCTTCGACCGGTGCGGCGAGCTTGAACAATGTCCTGGAGTACGGCGCGATCGTTGCTGCTGCTGCGGTGGCTATAGCCGCCCTCTAATCCGAGAAACACCCTCTGTATCTCAAAAGCACGTCGAATCTCTGGAAGACACGCTCAAGGTTGAATTGCAGCACATCTGCTATTCGTCTCGTGGATCAGCGCCGTAGGAATTGACGAGGCTTTTCAGGACGACATCGAGCAATGAATGAACCACTTTCCTGTACAGGGTGTATTCTTCAGATGTAATAATAGCCGAATGCACAGGGCGAGGGTTGTGTCAAGCTTTGTACGCAAATAATCCAGCAAGACCGTTGACTGCTTCAGCTTTTGACCATCGGTCATTTTGCAAAAATTTCTTACGTTTCTCACTCTACAAAAACATTATCTCTTCGGAGTTACCAGAACAAAAAAAGTCAAAGTTGAACCGTGCCCTCTACCTGTACATGTGTTAGTAACTGCAAACGCCTCGTCATGGAATAGACATACTGGAATCGAACCAATGGCCTCGTCATATGATTGCAGTGTATGCAAGAGGTACTAGTGACGCGCTCTACCCCTGAGCTAAGAGGGCGTACTGTTGATAGTCCAAGTTCTAACTCTGATTGGATGCCGATGGTGAATCTCATTTTGTATATAACCGCTGCAAAAACAACCAGAAAGTCAGAGCTGGGCGTGTACGACAAAGACGTGTGAAAAATTCGATCGAAGACTCTTGACACGAACGAGAATTGTTATCTTTGTGTCGTGGTGAGTGAATGATTTTGGAAATTTTGCACAGTGGGGAGCCGCCAAGGAATTTTAGAGGCTGCAGATGATGGGGGTGGAGGCTGCTTCTTGCCAAGGGGTGTGTAGGGAAAGGATGTGTATGAATCTGTAGTGTGAACTAAAATAGTATTCGTGGGTGTTGTGAGTGAGAAGTTGTTGGTCCAGCGCTGTTGAGTCAACATGATAGGATCTTGAAAATTTTGTGTCCACCTCATAGTCCATTGAACTTGGTGTAGAAATGACCAAATTGCACTGGAAACCCATTGCGGTATTTCTGTATGCCACTATCTCCTACATGCAACAGCCATTACAGTAACGCTACACAGTCGTCCCAACACCACACCTCTCAGCCAAAGACCTTCCTACAAAACAATCCTGCGATCGATATCCCTCAACATGGACTACTCATCCAATGCTAGCGATAACCTCATCCAGGGTGCCTCCCTTACTATCCCGATCTTGATCCCACGTAAGTCGAGTCAGACACTTCAGATCCTCCTTAGCATAACCGTACTCGGGCCCAGATTTCGCAATCGTGCTGGCGTCACCGAGTGTGTAGAATCTCGCGGCGAATTCTAGACTTGCGTCTTGTTGCATGCTGGTTTTGAGCGATTGTTGGAGGACGAGGATGTTGAGGCCCATGCGTTCTAGGCCGTGGTGGTCGAGAGCTTGGATGCAGCCGACGAGAGATACTAGGGCGTTGTTTGCGAGGACGTCGAGTTTAGTTGTTAAGAAGGTGTATTGTGGATGAAGCAGATTGGTGGAGATAGCGGTGTCGTAGGTACCGAGAGATGCTGCCAAGTTGAGGATTGCTGGGTCTGGATCGTTGTATGGCTGACCCAGGGCATATGTTGTGTCCATAGCAGTGTAGACTCCGTGAAGCAGATGCAACCGCAGATCAACGTGTAAAGTTCGAAGAATGAGAGACGACAGTTCTGTGAAGGATGCGAGCACAGCATCGAAGCCAGCTGCGGTCTCTTTGTCCAGTGGCAGATATGGCCCGCTTGGTGCATTGTCAAGGTTGAAGTTTTGGGTCCACCTTCTTCGGTCATGCGACTGCATGCTGCTTGTATCGACAGCCCTTGGACTGATGTATCGCAACTGCTGGCATCTCGAAGTAAGCCATTTCATGCTTACTTGAAGAGTGCACAGTGCTGCAAGTGCTTTGCGATCATTGATGAGATCGGCTTCTTCTAGCCTACGCTTCTTGATTTCGTTCAACAGCAAGGCAGTCTCTTTTTCGGCAAGGACCGCAGTGTCCTTCGCATCTGCTTTGAGCAGCTTGATGACAGTCTCGTTGATCGCGCCGCTTGTTGCGAACTGCGCAGCCAGGCGCAATTTGGCAGCTCCTTCGGATTCTAGTTGAGCGCGTTGCAGCAGACTCTTAGACCACTGATAGCACTTGTCGTAGTATGTCCGCATCTGCGTCACGATGAGTTGACTGAAACTTTGATCATGAGGCAGGCTGTCGAGCATGACGCAGAAAGCCTCGATGAGCTCGTAAAAGCGGGTTGTGCCTTTGAATATCGGTCTTTGGGCATGCAGTTGCCACTTGGGATCTGCTTGGAAGGCGTCCATTTCCGTCATACTCCGGCTGCAAAGTTCGAGTAAGGTCTCGTCAAGTTGTGGATAGAAGACATTGACGAGGAAGTCGTCAAGGAACGATGTCAGCGTGCCTGGGACGACGCCAGAGTTCACAGGCACGACTTCTCGTAATCGTGTCAAGAAGTCGAGCGAGGGCTTGAGAAGAATTCCCATGTTGAAAACACTGGGCTCAACCAAAAGTTTGTGTCCGGTCGCAGATATGTCGGTGATTGTGTTCTGGTCCTGTTTCGAATTTTGAGCATTGCTGCCGACCAGACCAGGCACTGATTGCTTCAATATCGACTCGAGGTCCTCGCGCTCTGTCGCCAAGTCGGTCGACTTTTGATCAGTTTCTGACATTTTGAAGAGCTTTTGTGATCGGTCTCGTGGTTGCGGCCTGAAAATGTTGGCACTTGGATCGTTTTCTTGTCTCGATCGTTGACCAAGATCGTTACTCGTGGCCAGATGATCGTGCAGTAACGATCGAATCTCACTCTGGAGGAGTTTCCACAGTTCCCGAAAACTGCGATTTAGCGTCGAAGCGTCTTCATGGCCGTCACGTTTGATGATTGCTGCTATCACATCATGGAGGACGCGATGCCCCTCAGCGATAGCTTCATACTTCGCAAAGAGAGTAACGAGCAGATCTTCGAGCGTTTCCTTCTTCTCGCCATCTGCGCCTGCGTTCACGCCAGCTCCCATTTTCTTCTGGCTTCTGGCCGCAGCTCGCAAGAGGGATGGATGCCGTTGCTCGACCTCCATATGTGACCTCTCTACCACTGTAAAGAGCTCAACAGGCAAGCGTTGTTCTATCTCGTCCACTGCGGTCTCTAAGCGGTTCATTTTGTTGAGCGATTCCAGCAAAAGCTGAATGTAGTAGAACGTGTCAGCCTCCGGATTCCTGGTGGTATCTTCCAACATTGGCTTCGAGGCATCAAATGTCTCCAGGAAACTGAACATGGATCGTTCGCTCTCATCGTGGTCAACAGTTGCGGCATCTCGTCGCGTGTGTGCTTTCCACCTCTCTTCGCAGTACGGGCTTTTGAGATAGAGATGATTGTGCAACTCTTCCACGAGAATGTCCGTCAACGAGTGCTCTTGATTGCTCAGATATACTCGCAAGTCGCTCAGCGCACCGATCTCCTCCATGTCTGGTTTCCTTATAAGCTTTAATGCTTCCTGCAGTGTGTCCACAGCGCCGAGAAAGCGCTTTTCAGATATTTGTGCTTCCAGCTTTTCCGGCACCTGCTGTAGTTGCTCGATGGTGCCCAACACCAGCAGCATCTGGTCATATTGCTGACTACTCTGGGCAAATGCTTTCAGCTCTGGTCGCGCGCTTGCCAAGCTACCCTTTGCTTGCACCAGACCCGATCTGAGCGTTCGTAGTCTCTGTTGCGAGGCATGTATCGAGGCTTGTATCTTGTGGAAGGTACCGATACTGCTGTTGAAGCCTTGGTGATGCTCATTGACAATGACCTTCAGCGCATTCTGGAGTTGCTTGTGGGCTTCCTGGAATTGGCTATACTGATGTGCAAGTCCGAGAGACGAATTGTCCATCAACTGAAGGGCGACTTTGACTGGTATGCATTTATCATCGGCCATGAACGACCAACGCTGCTCGATGAATCGAAGTATGTCTGCGCATAGGTCAGTCGCCTTGACCCACGGGTTTATGCGCTTCTTGCGTCGCGAGGAGATCGTCATGGTGCATTCGTGTGCACAGCATTACGATTGTGTAGCGAATGCACACAATGGATTGAGGTTTGCGACTTCTATCAGGTCCCATGTCGCAACCCCAGGCAGTTGCGAACGAGCAAGGGGGAAGTATAATAAGCAACAACAACAACCGCTACTGACCTTCAATTTGGCCTCCTTGTGTCCCATATCGTGCTCCTGCTCTGTTTCTGCTCCGGCTTCTGCTTCTACTCTGGCTGGCATCGAAGTCTCGACTCTTTCTTTGTGCATATCCCCTGTCCAGCCTCGCTACGCCCGTCCTAAAGCCTGTCGGTGCTCCATACCCGCCATAACCTTGCGGGTCGCGCGATCTGCTCCGTTCGGCGTCGCTTGTGCCTGGGCTACTGTCGTCGAAGTCGAAGCGGTGTCGGTTGGCGTTACTGCCGTTCAGGTAGTTGGAGCTGTCATTCTGTTGCTGGCGCATCCAAGACATGCTAGGCGTAGGCGTAGGCGTAGCTTGAATGGCCTGGGAAGCGTGTGCTATCTGTACAGCATGTTCTGTCGCGATACGAATACACAGACAAGTAAGCGGCGATGCGCCGGGGATCTTGAAGCTCCAATGGTAAGAAAAGTGGTGTCCACGGCGATGAATGGTGATTTCACTTACTCAGCATCCGCCGCCAGCGGGGTGCAGCGTGTATCTCATCGCATGTGAAAGTGAGGCTCTGCGGCAATCGCCGGCTCGGAACGCCAATCCCTGTCACCTTGTGGATCTTTGTCGCGAAGTGAAGTCGAACTTCCGCGTCGATCAACACTTTCATCTCGACTCGGCTGCACTATCGCATCGCATACCACCACGAGCTCGCCAACAGCATTGCGACATTGAAGTCGTATTGCTAACATCTGTAATTCTCAGCAATGATATTCTAGGCCGAAAAGGGCGCGGCGCGACATCAAACAGAGAGCTGGGCTCTCCTCCCATCCGCCACCAGCGCTCCTCCTTCTACCATCATGGCCGCCGTTGCGAATGGCCATACGAACGGCGTCAACGGTCATGGCGAACGTGTCGTGTTCCAGCGCTTTGCCGAAGTTCCGCTGGTCATCGACATTCCTGTCAGCGGAGAAGACGGCGAAGAAGTCACCCTCGACTTGAGTAATCCTCTTGACGACATTGACGAGCTTTGCGGGCTGCTGGAGAGCGAGAATGTGGCCAAGAGCTATTGGATTACAATCGCGCTTGCCTACATCAAGCAGAATAAGGCTGATCTGGCAGTCGACATTGTCAAGAGAGGCTTGGAAGCGATCCCGTCTGCGCGGTCAGATGACAAGCTCAGTCTGCTTGCGTGTTTGGTCTGGATTTATCTCTGGAAGTGTCGGAAGGCGCCCAGAGTTAAGCCGACCCAGGCGACCGAAGATGAGCGAACGAAGGAGCACTGGCTGGGCGCTGCCAACATTGCGCTGAATGATGCTTCGCGCATTAGTCCTTCCTACCCTCCGCTCTTCCTTGCGCGAGGCACCCTACTGCTTTTGAAGGCGTCTTTGCAGCCGACCAAGTTTGGCCCCGGAGGCCAAGAGCATTCGGAGCGAATAGAGACGCTGAGACAGGCATCAAAGAATTTCGACGATGCATATCGAGTTTCAGGCAACAAGAATGTTTTGGCTATCATGGGTAAGGCTCGCACACAGTTCTCGTTAGCCAAGTATCCAGAGGCATATATTCTCTACCAGCAGGCTCTTGAGCGCGCGACAGACCTCACAGATCCTGATCCACGCATTGGCATTGGCTGCTGTTTGTGGCAGCTGGGCCACAAGGAGAATGCGAAAGAGGCTTGGGAGCGCGCCCTTGAACTGAATGAGACCTCGACGATCGCCAACATCCTGCTTGGATTGTACTACCTCGATCAGAGCGGCCAGTACAACACAACCGACAAAGCCTTCGCGCCGATTTATCGAAAAGCCATGACCGAGTACACGCAAACGGCTTTCAAGCTGAACGATATGCATGCTCTCACGTGCTCGACATTTGGTGGGTACTTCCTGCTTCGCAAGACTTGGCCAAACGTGGAGCGTCTGGCGCGCAGGGCCATTGAGCACACCGATGTCAATGCCATTGCCAGTGACGGCTGGTATCTGCTTGCCAGGAAAGACCATTACGAAGGCGATCTTGCCAAGGCTCAAGACCACTACACTAAGGCCGACCAAGCAAGAGGCGGTGATGATCGAGGATACCTGCCTGCCAAGTTCGGTGCAGTGCAGCTGAAGACCCTCATGCAGGATATCGATGGTGCCAAGTTCCGCCTCGAGAAGATGCTGCTCACAAACAAAAATGTGGAGGCAACAACGCTTCTGGGCGTACTTTACGCGGAAGAAGTCTTTGCTGCACAAGCAGCCGGTTCAAAAGAGGACAAGAGCGAATCGAAGAAGAAGGCAATAGTCCGTCTCGAGCAGGTTCGTGTCGCTTGGAAGGATTCGAAGAAGAAGATTACGCCAGATTCTGCCGTCTTGCTGAACCTGGCCCGTCTCTACGAACAAGACGCACCAGATAAGGCATTGTCGTGTCTTCTGCATGTCGAGCAGCTGGAGCTTGCCGAGATCTCGGACGAGGATTTGCCTGAGGACATTGACGAGACCGACGAGAGCGCTGTAAGAGCCGCCAAGCAGGAGATGCTGAGTCCTCAGCTCCTCAACAACATCGGCTCGTTCTACTTCCACGCAGATCGTCTATCGCAAGCTCGAGAATACTTCCAGTATGCCCTGCGGTCTAGCGTCTCAATCAACGCCAAGGACGAGTCTGTCGACACGGATGCGTTGGTCACAACTATCAGTTACAACCTTGCTCGCACTTACGAAGCCGAGGGCGTGGAAGATGAGGCGGAGAACATCTACAAGAAACTGTTGGAGCGGCATCCAGACTATATCGATGCCAATTCGCGTATGGCTTACCTCGCACTGCGCAACGACCCAGCCAAGGGAGCTGAAGCCATCAAAGAATTGATGGAAGCAGATCCTGCCAATCTGGAAGTACGAGCTCTCTACGGCTGGTACATCAACAAGCACAAGAAGCGAACTCTTGCCTTGAATGAGGACCAAGAGCAGAAGCACTACAAACACACGCTCATGACCTACGACAAGCACGACATATACTCACTTACCGGGATGGGCAACCTGCACCTCACCGTGGCTAGAGAAATGCCTCGAGACACCGATGTGCACAAAGAGCGGCGAAGCAAGACCTACGCTCGCGCGGTTGAGTTCTTCGACAAAGTTCTTACCCTCGATCCTAAAAACGCATTTGCTGCGCAGGGTCTCGGCATTGCAATGGTCGAGGAGAAGAAGGACACGAGCGCGGGCATTTCAGTATTCTCAAAAGTGCGCGAGAGTGTCAAGGACGCTTCAGTCCACATAAACCTTGGCCACGTCTACTGCGAGCTGAAGCAATTCAGTCGTTCCATCGAGAACTACGAGCTTGCACTTGCAAAGTCACGAGACAAGGATCCACAGATCATGGCGTGTCTTGGTCGTGCCTGGTTGATGCGTGGCAGAGCAGAGAAATCTCTCGATGCCTTAAAGACCAGTCTGTACATCTCCCAACAAGCATTGGAGAAGGCCCCGGACAACATCAATTTCAAATTCAACGTCGCCTTTGTCCAGATACAGATTGCGCAGCAGATGATCATGCAACCTGAAGCAAACAAGACCTTGGCCGACGTCGAGATTGCGAGCAAAGGCCTCGACGCCGCTATCGAGTCGTTTGGCGAGATTGCCAAGAGCCCCAACACACCATTCCCACGTCACGATATTGAGCAACGTGCCAACATGGGTCGGAACACGATGAAGAGACAGCTAGCGACAGCCATCGAGAAGCAAGCCGAATATGAGAAGAAGCACGCAACTCGTCTTGAGGAGGCACGCAAGCGTCGCGAAGAAGAAGTCCGCAAGCGAGAAGAGGAGCGCCGAAAGGCTTTGGAAGCTGCGGAGGAAGAGAAGCGCAAAATTCGTGAAGAACGTGAGAAGCTCATGGAAGAGGACCGTCAACTTCTCGAGAAGCGGATGCAGGAGGAAAGAGAGCGTGAAGCTGCAGAGTACACCACAGACGAAGAGGGTAATCGCAAGAAGCGCGAGAAGAAGCCAAAGGAGAAGAGACAGAAGCGAAAGAAGAAGGGAGAAGAGTCCGACACTGAGGCTACAGGCGATGAGGGTAGGCGCAGTCGACATCGCTCCCGAGCTGCCAGTACCACCGGCAGTGATCTGGATGCGCCGCGCAAAAAGAAGAAGAGACGACTGGAGCGCAAGGGTCAAGCCGTCAAGTCCAGCAAATATAAGTCTGCTGATCTGGTTGTCGAATCGGATTCAGAGGATGATGCTGGTCTTGCTGCTCCCACTTCCTCTGCCGCACCTCAGTCCGATGCTGCAGAGACACCAGCCCCTGAAACGCCTAGACCGGGTGACGACACCATGGCAGATGGAGGCGATGAAGACGATGAGCCCACAGCACGATCTCAACAGCGGCGGAAACCAGCTCGTGTCCTCGACGACGATGAGGACGAGGACGGTGATGTGCCTCCAGCCACTAATGGTGGTGATACATCGATGGTGGATGACAGTGTCGAAACCGCAGGGGATAGTGACCATGGTGGAGACTAGTTACCTCGAGAGAATATGAAAGCAAACACTATCATCAATCAAATTGGTCACCCCGACGCAGCGGCAAGACGCGACAGCATCATGGGCATTGGAGACATCGTCACAAAGTATCAAGCAGACAACTCGCAGGTTGCGTGGTCTTCTACCACATTCCTACCAGCCAATATGACCTCCCCGCTCACAGAAAAGCTCCGCCGGAAGCGATACACACTCGACTGGAGCAAACCCCCGAGAAAAGGGAAGGTGAAGCTTGGTCTCGATGAGCGGCTGAAGCTGGAAGGTACGCTGCAGAAGGAAGTCCTCAAACTTCGTGAGCGATTAGACCGCGGAAGCAAGAGTTCTCGCACCCTGCGAAGACTTTGGGATGATCACGAGGCTCTTCTAGCATTAGGAAGCAGACCATAGGGACAAATTTGGTGCAATAGTTTAGGAGGCATAATCAAAATTGATACCACACGTCGTTCATGATCCATACTTCGACCTCATATGCGATTTTTTTCCCCGCCTGCGCGGTACAGTGTTGGGCGAGTTTTCTCAAGGGCAGCGCGCTCCAGAGCTTCCCTGAGACATCACCTCATGACCTCCATAGTGTCAAGACAATCTCACCCAGATCATGAACCAAGCACTTCCACAACAGTCACTAACTCACAACCAGTCTCCCAAGTTGCATTGAGCTCGACCTCTTTCCGGAACACGTCCTCCCAAGTCATACGCCTCCACACCTCCGGCTTCTCGACCGCTTCAACGAAGTACTTCATAGCGATGACAGTCTGCTCCGCCCAACGCGTGGAGCTCACCATCCCACAACCCGTAGCAAGCGGGGTCATCAGAACAGATTTTTATCGCCTGCTCAGCGAGCGCCACCCTGTTATCGGAGTTTTCGATATGGCCGTCCGTCCACAGCACAAAGCATAGCCCGCCCAAATACACTCATAAACAAGCTCTCGGATCCCAACGCACGTCCCAAGGAATTTGCATTGTTGGGCAGAGAACAAGGTACATGTAGCTCGTGTCCCAAGGATTTTTTTTTTTTCGATAGGCTTGTCGTCGTGGTCGAGCGGTTACGATTGTGCATGTGCCTGGTGGGGGGCGGAGCCGCGATATTTCGAGTATTCTAGAGGACTGCTTGGGCTTTTTTCCGTGATCCAATCGTATGACCCGCTGTTCTTGGGTTTGGCATCGTCGAAGGCTCCGTCTAGACGAGCCTAGCTGTTCGCGGGAGAGACGACGGCATCGAAGCGGAGAGAATGTTCGAGATACTGTACTTCAGACTGCATTCGTGGAACAACATATGTCATACCAAGAGTCCGATGCGTGTTTGACATCGTATCGTATCCGGAAATGGCATCGTGTGACACGGAAAAGGTCTTGTTAGGACATACATGACTCAGAAAAAGCATAGCCTACAGCATGTAGAAGTGCAATGCCCTACCCTGCCAGCAGAAACAGCTTGGACAGTGCGAATCAGTATAGCCAGAACTGAGTTTAGAGATGTAATCTCACTCACTAGAGAAGCAACAAGTCTCATCTCGTGTCGAAAATTTCTGCTCAATCAACCTCACTCATTCTTCGCCGGACTATATACACATACGTCTTGACGTCCTCCTCAGAATCCACGACACCAGCATGGCAAACATGGAACAACAAGATCAAGAAAGCCCTACAGTGATTGTGAGTGTTGTGACGATGGGTGTTTGCGATAGGGATGGATGGGCTTTGAGTAGGTAGGAATGCGAGGGACATGTGGTTTGGGGCTACGGCTGCGTATGCGGCGATTATGGTGGTTGATACTGGTAGTAGTGAGTTTACGTGAGGTTGAGGAGAAGTAAAATGTTGGGTTCTGCCCTGCGCTCTGCCGATAATGTTGGTTGGGAGGAGGAGCAAGATTATTTCTTTTCCTTCCGTACTTCATATCTTCTCCCGTTCTTCACCGGAACAGCAAACTACACGTGCTGGTAGGACCATCGTAGCTTCTCCTTTGATCAAACGTAGTCCTGGCATTACTGTGAATGCCACGATGTCTCGAGGTTCATTGACTGCCTTGTGGTTTTCTCCATTGAAATGCTCACCAGGAGTCGGCCAGAAGAAGCAATGCTGGATTTCAGAACTGGTGAGCTTGAGCTTGAGTTCTGCCGCGCTCGTGGCAATAGCGACGACATTCTTCTCAAAGTTCGCACGCCAAGTCTTGTCTTTGTGCGTCTCATTCTGGTTCAGCAAAGCCGCTATGCCGAGGAGTGTTTCGATGTACGGAGTGAGATCATCGGTGAGCCGACCGGCGAACTGCTGCATGAAACGAGGCAGCACTCCTCGGGTTTGATCATCATCTGCGGACTTGAGAATTGCTTCAGCGAAACGGCGAGGTAGATGCCTTTCACGAGCAATGGCATTCTGCAGCGGATCTCGTAGCATTGCGAACAGTTTTGGTGCATCTGCAAAGAGAAGTCAGCTCAGCGCAACAATCAAACATTGTGTAGTGTCTCACCTTCAATCTTCGACCAACCGAGTTGGACGCACAGTCCTCTTTGCCAATCCAGCTTTTCCCGCAACAAGAACTGATATACCAGTGCTGAGATCAGAGATTGAGTGACAGTGAGCGCTGTGAAGCTGCCGCTATCTCTGAGACTGCCGCAATTAGATTTGAAGTTGCCGCCAAAGCAAGATATGAGGACACTTTGCAAGCATGGCGATGAGCTCGGTACATATGGACTGACTTGGCTGGCAGGCAGACCGACCGCGGCGAACAGGCTGACCACCGTCGCTCTAATCTGCTTTGCCAGGTCACTGAAGGCAGTTTCCCATTTGGCCAGGTCTGGAAATGAGGCGGCAGGAACGTGAGCGATTGCAGTTGTGGGTGGAGTTGGAGTTGGACGGCGCGGCCGTGCGCGGACGGACTTTACAGTCACAGGTTCCCATTTCTCTGCAATGGCCGCATGCCGTAGCTTGACGATCAAGCGAGAAGGTTGGCCATCGTGACTTGTGACCTCCGTGTCGTGCGAAGACGTCTCGGTCAGAGATGAGCTCTGGGAGATCTCGCCGATCTCGTGGCCGGATGGCTCATGTTCGTTGTCCTGGTCACTAGCCGGAAGCTGGACCAATCCTCCCTCCTCGCCTTCAAGCGCTGCGAAGACTTCGGCACTCGTAGAGATTGTTGGTAGGGTACCGTAGGGTAATCTGTCAGCGCGCTGAACGGCATCTTCGTAGCTCTTCCGCAATTGATTCACGTAGGCTGGCTTGAAAGCTTCGCTACCGAGCTTGTACACTGGTTCAGACTTGAGGCCGCTTTTCAGTCTGGGATTCTGATGGCGCGTGGATCGTTGTATGAGAAATTTGTTGAGAGAGTCGGGAGTGTACGAGCAAATTTGATGATTCTTAGGGTATCCCAAAGAAAATTGGTTGATCAAGAGAGCTAGAGCAGCATTTTGTTTGGTGTTGTCGCCATATTTCCATTCCGGATGACGAGCTTGCTGCTTGGTCGCGTCAATATCTTGCAGCACAATATAGAGTGCATACTGCTTCGCAGTCGCCGACGGCAATGACAGGAGAACATCGATCTCGTCAGAAGTGGTTGTTGAGTTCGCAAAGTCTTCATCTTCGCCATCGTCCAGAGCGTCATCATCGTCGTCGGATGGTGCATGACGTTGACGCAAGCGACGCGAGATGGCATTATCCCTTTTTGGATAGCGAGTTGGATGACGAGGACGGGGCAAGTGGTTGGTATTCGGAGGAGGACCCGGCAGAGAAGCAGGATCGAAGGTGGCACGTTTGTAGTGGTATCTTTCGAGCACAGTCTCTGCCAGCTTGCTGCTCCCCACCCGGAACATGACATCGACCAAGGTCTCGCCGGCTTTCTTCAATTTGCCGAGGTTGCTTTCTGATGCCAGCTCTGTAAGTAGCTGCTGGCAATCACGCTCCGTTCGAAGTACTGCACGTCCATTCTTATGCGAGGATCGCTTGTAGTAAGCATGCTCGCGAAGGTGTTTCCGTATGAGTGCGAGCTGCTGCGACGTGCTTAATGCGGCTGGCTGTGTACTGCTGTCAATCATATGGAGCAAGCCTTGCACAGCGTCCCGGCGGTGCTGCCGCTCCATGATCAGGTCTGATGCCAAGAAAGGTCGGTATAATTGGAAGAAAGCAGCGACGGGCAATGGAAGTGTGGACGATGCGCTCTGCTCCTTCCTCCATCGTCCAACGCGGGCGGCAAGTTTGTAGAATGCCTAGGAAGCTAAGCTGAAATGCGGTGGGCCGTGCTTTAGCGCAAAGCTTAAATATCAGCACTTATAGATACCTATATATTACGAAGTTCTCATTTCATAGTAGACATGTTAAACAATGTTTCTACGCTTGCCCTTGCAGCGCGCGCGGCTAGTACAGTAGCTACCTAGTACCCAACATTTCAGGCGGTTGCGTCGGCTCCATGCATGCTCCATTCCAAATTCCACTTCTTCTTCTTCTTCTGCTGAAACACAGCAAGACAAAACCGCCACATGATTCAGATGCCGACATGCAAAATTCTTCACTTTCCCACCTATCTATTTTGTGGCCAACATCTGAAGCGCCAACGCGGCGGCCGAGGTACGAAGGTCTTCGCTGTTCATGGAACCTGTGCGCGACGAGTTCCTCGTCTGCGAGCTTCGTTGCTGAGCGCTGATAGATGTATGCGAGCTGTGCGGTGATTGATGGATGGTTGTAGGCGTTGAGGATTCTTCGGTGCTGGAGGAGATCGAGGTTGTGAGAACGGCAGCTGACGCGGCTGACGCAGAAGCGCTGTCAGATGGAGCAGGAGCAGGAGCAGCGGCAGCGGCAGCGGCAGCGGCAGCGGCAGCGGCAGGCGTGTGCTTCGCACGCGATCGAGTCATCTTAGGAGCAGCGGCCTGCACGGTGGCTACTGCTGCTCGTTTCTGCTTCTGTTTCTGCTTTTTCCTCGGCGGCTTCTCATCATGTTCGGGCTTATCATCAACCACATGTGAGGAGTAAGTGCCCCAAATGTCTTTAATCAGTGGAGGAAATGCGAGTCGATAGTCGTGATGCACGTCCACTTCAGTCTGTCAGCAGTTTGATACCAGGTGTGACATGGCAGTACACTCACCATCTCCAGAGCTTCCAACGTAGATGTAATCTTCGTCCGGCGCCAGCACCTTCACGCGCAGCTTGAGACTGCCTTCTGCGACGTCGGTGCTAACAATGCACTTGCACTCGTAGAATGGTGTTCCTCCAAGCTGTTTCACTCCGAACCCCTTCTTCGCAAGATCAGGAAGCTTGATATATTTTGGTGGAAAAAGCTCGAGCTGCTTCCGAATCCGGCCCTGGGCGTCTCGAAGAGGACTATGCTTCGTGACTGCTTGGCCCGGCTTGCTGTAGTACATGTCGAAACGTAAGCCTCCAAGGCGGGCAGGGATCGAGGCATCAACCAAGGCAATCCATGGGATTGGCTCCGACGCTGTCATCGAGTCTTCAACCCTCATGATAGGTACAAGCCTCTCCGTGGCGAGAAGCTCCGTTGGATCGTGTTCGCTCCGTGACACCCATGTCGGATCAGGCAGAGGGTCGCTACCAGTGTACGACAACGCCTTTGGGTTTCTTGCAGACGCCTTGCGTCCAGAAAACTTGGTACCAGCAACATCTTTCCATTCAGCAAAATCCAGGGCGGCTTTGGGAAAGCGTTGCTTATTCAGCTCATTGCCTGCGTAGATCTTGCTCTCTTGCTCATGAGCCCAGACTTTGACCCAGACGGTGCCCAGCTTGTGGACTTCGGGATCCCATTCCTCATGGCGCACCAAGAAGATGGAGCCGGTCGGAAGTCGATCAGGCTCGTTGTGGGGATACTGTATGAGGCCGCCTTTCGCAACCGGGTTGATGGATTTTGAACACCACACGTCTTCGATGGAGAAGTTCTTCAGCAATTTCTCTTTCAGATAGTTGATCACGAGACGACACTTGGAGATGCCTCCTGAAAGTAGCACTGCGCGACACTGTATTCTCGGTCAGCTCTCGCGGTGGAAGGAGGTTCCAACGGACGCTACCGACATTTCTGTTCGCCGGCTGTCCAAGGTGCTCTGCGATGACGGCATAAGCAAGCTTTGCCCACTCGATTATGAATGAGATCATTCGTTCTCTAGCGAGATGTCAACCACGTCAGCGTTACTGTCAGTACGCAAAGCCATGTCCATACCTGTCAAGAGAGATGGAAAGCTCGCTGATGCAGCCAGCTGCAGCAGAGCCTGCGGTTCCGCTGATGACGACGGTGTTTCTGGCGGGTATAGGGTCCTGCTCCTTCAGATACCCGATCTGGTCGTACAATTGCCGTTGGAAGTCGTTCACCGATAGGTCGCCGAGCACAGCGCAAGCATTTGAGAGGTCACCGTACTTTCGGATTTCAGGGCATCTCACAACATAGTTCAGAGCTTGCAATTCAACATTGTGAGCTCCCGCAAGACCACCTTTGGAAACTCGTCAGTTCTCATTCTGCGCGCAAGCGTGCGTGACCAGGGCCTCTCAACACTCACCGGTCGGCGTGCCCACAACATTGATGGCAAAGCGACTTGCGCTGTAAGCACAGCGCCTCGTGTGGATAGTGACGACGTCCTTGAGGCATGTCAGCTTTGTGTAATTGAGAGATGACAGATAGAGTGATACGTGCCATGGTGCCATGTCCTCCATCCGCACAGCAGACCAGATCATCGTCCTGATTAGCGCGTCAATGCGTGTTCATCGTCGTCGAAGCCCACAAGCAGAGCAGAGCATCTCACCTTGATAACGTTCTGTTGTCGCATCCTAATGGGCAAAAGTGGAATGGATTAGCAGGGGCAGCATGAAGATGTGACGAGTGGCACGGGCACACGTACTTCGGTAGATCGCTTGCAGCGGCGCAAATCGGCTCATATTGCAATCGAATGTTGGAGAAGCCAGCGGCGATGGCGGCGTCAATCATGATGCCACGGGCAGCACTGTTCCAGGCTACTGGTATGGTGATGGTTGATTCAATCTGGATATCATCTGGGATATGACACTTGCATCCCCTGGCGTGAGTTTGCGCGCCGCAGTGATAGCCAGTCGCTTCACTTCTCAGGAAGGAGAGGATTTGTTGGCGGATGACCTTCAGATGGTCGCAGATGAGCTCTTCGATGGCAGCGATGTCGCCGAATTCCGCGCCGATTGCTCTGTACACTCGTGTCACCAGCGCACTGTTCTGATGCTCTGGAGACAGGCAGAGCTTCCACAAGAAGATGGCAGCTTCGGCGCATTGCTGTTCCTCGATCCACTGCTGCGTCTCGATCTTGCCGGTGATGAGACCTCGGGCATCGTCCATCACCATGACTTGCTCCATCTCATTTCTGGAGCCTTCAAATTCGACGTTGACGGATTCGACATCGTGTACGGATTCGCCCGGGCGGACGAATTGCACGGCGATCTTGAGTCGCCCGCTGCCATAGTCGATCAACGTTCTCACGAAGGAGCGAGACCGGTCGATGGCAGAAGTGCCGGTCATGGTGGCAGAAAGGGCCACGACGACGCGACGGCAGTGCAGTCTTTTCGCCCGCGCTCAAGAGGAAAACAAAGTTGTGGCTGTAGTAAGCATGCAGGTGGATTTGCTCGGGGTCTCGCGGCGATCACGCAGATTGACCGTCATGCGTACATGTACCTGCAGGCACTGCTGCATCGCTCGTCCAGCAATTCCCGCCGCCCGCAATGGTAGTCACAGCAAGTACGACCGTCGGCATGCACTTCACGATAACACGAGGCAATGGCGAACGCCGAACAGTCACTCAGCCACTGCATGAACCCCTCCACTCGCCAAGACCCGCTAGTGCGGTTATCCCAGCCCCAGCCCCAGCCCCAGCCACTCCAACAAGTTCAACCAACCACGAACTGCTTCTTGGCAGTCGAGACGCAGACACCTTTCAGCTTTCAGCCTTTCACATGCCACCCGAGCTAAAGTAGCGATTCAAACGCCGCATGGTGGTTTGCAATGCAGCTTCCCAGATGCAGTTAGTTGATCGGTCATCGCGACTCCGACAACAGATCGGACCGGACCGGACCGGACCGCTCCGTGAAAGCCCCAGAGCCGGGAACTCTGTTAATTACATCGAACATGCAATCGCGAATGCCCATCTATGCCTATGGACACGACTGCGAACTGCCTGCCTTTTCCTCGCCGGCGCCCATCGAAGCGACACGCATTCGGCGCGGAAGTGGCTTTGCAGGCATCATTGCAACGCGCACCGGCACCGATGAGATCCAGCCGCACTACCTCGAGCACATCGAGCAAAGCAGCCAGAACCCGGCCGTGACCGAATCTCTGCCTATGCATCTGCCTATGGCTATACCGATGCCTGTGCCTATGTCTCTGCAGTCCGCGGAATTGTCAGCTGGCCATGCTGGAGAGATCACGTATCCCGCATCATCCACGCAGCAAGCTCAGCCGCCTTCTTCTCAGCTTGGCGTTACCGGCAAAATTACTCGCATTATGAACCACCTTAGATTCAAGCGTAAAGCGTCTGACGATATCCCCTCTCCGCCGTCTAAACGTGGCCGCACGCCTGAAGATCCTGGAGTCGCACACTCGCGGTCCGCCATTATTTGTCCTGCCTCGGAAATTTCCGAGACTGATCAAGGCTCGCCTGATTCTTCAACACCTGCACCTCTCGCTGTCAAATCTTCTCAGCGAGGCCCAAGCACCCGAAAGCTTGACTCAGACGGCCGCAACACTGCCAACGGTGGTACGGATACGCAACTCGACCCCCTATGTGGCGAGGAAGGAGGAAAGGTCAAGCAAAAGCTCAACGCAAACGAAATCAATGATGCCCTAGCGAGAATGTCGCACGATATCCTGGAAACTACTGAATCAGTCCTGGTATTTCTGGGCTTGCAGCAAAAACGACTCGTCGATAGCCCTTGTGTTCGTCAACCAAGCGAAGACCTGAAGCGACTGTACGAAACGTGCTGGGGTCCTGAGTGGTCCAACATTGAGCAGCAGATGGAGCCCCATGACGGTCTATCTGCATCGAATGTGCTCCGAGCTTTGACAGCCTGCTACGTGCATTGCTTCATCTTCAACGATGCATCAACGAGCCAAGATGAATTCTGCAGCAACTTGAATTCGGCCTTGCTTGCAGGTAAACAGAGTTGCTCATGATGACATCCGAAGTCTTCTCTTGCTAACTCCGACCAGATGCCGAAGCCGAACGACTCTTCTTTGCGCTGGCCATTGACAACGAACCAGATCGACTTGCAGCCGTGGGCCCGGCAGCCAATCTATACCCGCAGCCTCTGGAGACCGCAGTGCAGGAGGACCAATCTCCTCAGAGCATGTTCGACGCGCACGCGCACGCAGCTGCCAGTCGCCTCACGAACATCTTGCAGCCACATATTCAAAGCCTAGTCAACCTTGCCACAGTTCTACAGAAGTTTCAAGGCGAAGCTCATGGATGGTGCAGCGAATTCACAAGCAGCATGGCAACCGTCTTCAGCGCTGCAATAGACCTCAAATGTCGCCTGATCGACTCCAACTACAAGTACGGCTTCTTTTGGCCAACCGCTGGCTCGCCGGTAGACACTACTGTCATGAAGCTGGCTCACAAACTCCCTGGCCGCGGATCGCAAGAGGTCGCTTTCACGCTATTTCCTGGCATTCGCGTGGACTTTGGCCTATCTCGCGCCTCCTGGCCAGTGAAGACTGCCGATGTTGTGGCTCGACTTCAGGCCAACAACGCCGCCGAGGACATCTTGATGTATGGCTGAGATGCTACTTGAGCTACACGCTGCAAGTGCACTTGCGATTATCCTTGTCCCTTGCCGCTTTGTGTGGTCTCAATATGGATCTGCTGCTGCGCGAGCTTCACAACATATGCAGTAGCTCGGCATCGATGGCTGACTCCGAGCATGGTCCTTCCTGTTCGAGACCGGCTCCTTCAAGAAGAGTAGCGGCCCAAGCGGACAAATCACAGCGCATACCAAAGTGTTGCAACGACCTGGCCCAAATCGGGAGTCCAAGTCCATAAAGCGTGTTCCGACTCCAGCATCTTAACCTTGCATTCACGTATAGTACAACGTGATGTCGGACCCATGTGTTGCTTTCGCGACGAACGAAAAGCCGGAAATGTCGCCTTTCGCTGTCAAACTCAAGAACTGGACCACTCTTACTGGCATTGCATACATACCGACACCGGCACTTTCTCCATCAAAAGCATCAAACAGACCTCTTCCAGTTGGCATTCATGGTGCTACCACTTCAGCACAGAGCTGGGACATAATTCATCCAGACTACACAGCATCAACTTTTTGCCATCTCCTCGGCATTCCACCTGTGGCATGTCTCGTCCAAAACTCTTGCAATCGACATTGAAGAATGCTGGTGCTATCTCGAGTAGATTCTGCCTAAAATTTGGGGGCATTTTGGCATTGCAGTGCTCTTTTCACCACATCGCATTCGATGAGTGTACATTGCTGTTGGGTTGCACAGCAGACCCCATAATTCTGAGCGGGGTCACGCATGGGCAGGTGTCGTCTTCGCAGGTTACGGCACTGAACCGAGGGAGGCCGTCGTTGAAGATCGAGGAAAGTTCGCAACGAATGTCTACGACCCAAACGACTTTCCATATGGCCACAAGTCGAAAGTCCATATCAGTCCATTCCTCAAGGTAGACAAGATTTCACTCATGGTGATTTCTGAAGGCACTTGCGATCCTGAACTTTGAGAGCTTTGCTGGAAGCAGAATACGCCAATTTTCTTTGACGAAGTCATCAACACGAGCAACGTTTGGGAGGCCAGGCTCGAGGAGCTGAAGGGTGGTGTTACGATCCCGGTTCTGTATGGAGCGCAAGAGTGAGAGCTCATGTCGATGACTTCACAAGAGGGGTTATCAATGCACGACGAAGGGAAGCTGCACTGATCAGTGGCGCGCCTCGCGCTATTGAGTGGTCAAGGGTGGGCGCTGGCTGGTGGACCAGAGCTCTGCTGAAGTCACTTCCAGTCTTGAGGCACAGAAATTGGACTTGAAAGATTGCGAATAAGCGGATTCGGAATTATTGAAGTTGCAGGCGAATAGAAATCAAATCATCGCATATCTACCCGAAACACTACTTGCCAGCGAAATACTTCTCATAGCTGGCCCCAACATGGTTCTGGTGCCATCTGTACTCCGGATTCTGCTTCAACAACCTCTTCACAGTCTGCACGCCAGTCTCCGGCTCCCTCCCCAACAAAGTCATCATAGCAGAATCCGTAACCTCAGCATCACCATTACAAATCCCCTGAAAGAAAACCAACCTCGCCTGAAACCAGGCTTCTGACTTCCCTCCAATATCCCCCTTCGCCGACTCCCGAATCCACTCTTCCGGCTCCAAATACCTAACCTTCACCCTCCTCCCTCTCACCTCACCAATCACCTCCACAATCTCCAAAAGACTATACGTCCTCATCGCCGTCAACAAAACAATCCTCCTCTCCCCCCTCGGTTGAATCCCCCCCAACCCCTCCACAAGAACCTTCGCAATCACCTCCCCCAACTCCTCTCGCGACGTAAACGCAATCCTCCCCTCCTCAACCGCAGGTTGAATGTTCGGCATCAAAACCTCCTCACTCTCCGGATACCAGTTCAAAAACAACGGAAACGCATCAGCATACACCCCCGCCCTCAAACTCACAAACTCCAACCCCGAATTCCGCAACATCTTCTCCGTCTCATAATGCGCGTGTTGAAATTTTATCTTACTCCCATCCCCCCACCCCCCAAACCCCAAACTCACATACCACACCCTCTTCACGTCTGCTTTCTTCGCTGCGTCGATCACATTTCTATGTTCGGCAATCCTTTTCGTGGAATCTCGTTCTGACGACGATACGAAAAGTAGATTTTGCACGTTTTGGAATGCGGATGTGAGAGTTGAGGGGGAGGTGTAATCTGCGTGGCGGAAGAGAAGGTTTTGGGATTCGAAGGTTTGGGTGGTGAGGGTGTCGTTGTGTCGGGATGTGGCGATTATGGAGGTGGGAGGGATGTGGTGGGTGTGGAGCATTGAGGTGAGGATTTTGTGCCCGAGGCCGCCTGTTATTCCTGTGAGGAGGAAGGGGGTTGGGGTGGAGGGTTGGGTGGATGGTGAAGACATTGGTGGGTGGTTTGGATGTTGATTGTGGTTGTGGTGTTTGGTTGATGTTGTTCTTTTCTGATTCTTCTAGACATGACAACGACGACATATATATATCCTTTCTCCCAGAAGTCCTCCCAATGCTACAGTACTTGTCCCAAATAGGAAAATTGTGCATTGTGTCTGCTATACGAAATTCCAGATCATGATTGGCACGGGCTCATGTCCGGGGCGTGGTTGAAGTCGATCACTTCCCGAAACTGCAGGAGGTCGTTGAATGTCTTGGTAATCTGTGGCCTGAGGCGTGAATGCCGTCGTTCTGTGCCGACTTTAGTCTTTGTCCTTCCTTGATTATAGAGTGTCTCGTGCATTCGAGAAGGTGCTTCTTTCTCGCATACTCGTTGAAGGAAGATTAACTGCAGTCATCTCCAACACTGTGAAATGATTATCGGGAGGCATTGGTTGGCACGATCCGACACCCTATATGTGGAGATCAGTATCACTATGCCACCACTACCATACCGATTGACATCTTATCAAACTCCCCACCTCTCCCCTCCGTACAGACTTTCTAGAACGGAGTCCGCACTGCCAAACCAAAAGCCCGGCGACGACTATCATCTTCCATCAAAAACCTTCCCAATGGAATCATCTTTCATCCTTCCTTCCTACCTTCCAACATGTTAATATAACATCTCCCGAATCGTTCAAAAAAAATCCCACGTAGCAGCAGCGAAATCTGTAACTAATACCAAAGCATATAATGTACGCGATTATAAAAGAACCACCAACTCTTTCCTCCTAGAATTCTATACGAAAAAAAACCCATCTCCCTCTCATCATCATCATCATCATCATACCCACCCGCAAAAACCATAAGGTAAACACACGGCTGATTTGAATCGCGTTCGTCGCTAATAGAAAATCCCGAATTTTGGAGATCTCTTGGAATGCATATAGCGAGGCGAGGGAAGAAAGGCTTAATCCATTGGTATGTGCCCACGCACGCTTGATCGATATTCATAAGATTCTGCCCGAGGAAGACGATACCAGAGATGCAAAGACCACAGCATAAGGATACCCTTGGATTAAGAAAATTTTCAAAACTTTTTGAAGCTGGAGTTCGTCTTGACGGTATTTTTGCTCTATCGTCAAACGACTCGTGTTTCAGTGAAGAGGCTCTGAAAAAAAGCGGTTAGCTGATCATTGATGTGGTCAAATTCGGAAGATACGATGTTGCGGAACAAGAGCATTTGGAGGCAGGCAGAGCACTGAATTCGAGATGATAACAGTCATGAAAGTCAAGCGAGAAGTCCGAAATGATGAACAGGATATTACGAGTGTCATGAATCATATAGGCAATGTAAATCATCTTTGATTCGATGATATGAACGCCGTACAGCTCTCATGGATGCTTCAGCTGTGTTCCCGCTCCCAGAAAACCTTTCATACAACAAACAAACGCTTAGTTCTCGTGGAGAGTAGCCTCGTACGCCTTGTCCTTGGCAATCGGCTTGTCGGTCGATTTGACGTGACCAAGACCCTGCGATGCATATGCCTTGGCGTATGGGTTGAGGCGGAGCAAGACTTGCTTGTTGTGGAGTGGGTTCTTCTTCTGCACAACGGTGCGCTTGGTGATGGCAGAGCCCTTGACTGGGCGGAGCACGCTCTGGACTTCGCTGCTGTTGATGAGCTTGGCAATATCTGGCTGAGCGACCACGTTGGATGGGAGAAGGAAGTCGCGCTTGAGGCCGGATGGCTCGGTCGTGCTGCCGTAGACGGTGTCGAGGGCGGCGAAAGCGGAGGAGGTCCAGATGACGAAACGGCCGAGGTGACCACCTGGTGCGAGCTGGAGGAGGTTCAGAGCGTAGACTGGGCAGGTCTCAACACCTGGGATGTTGCGGAAAGCGGTGACAAGCTCACGGCCATCCTTCTCTGGCTCGTAGATAACGAGAGGCCCACGGCGCTGAGTGTGGCGGCGGTTCCTCAGCTTGCCCTTTCCTGCGCGGAGCTTGCGGGAGGCCTTGACCTTCTCAAGATCTGGACCGGCACCAGCAGCCTTGAGGAGAGCGAGAGCAGCGGAGGTCTTCTTCACGGCGGCGTTGGAGAAAGCGGTCGAGGAGATGACGAGTGGAACCTCTGGAACCTCGTTGATCTTGTGGCCACGGGCGAGGAGGAGGGCAGCGCTGGAGGATGCGGCGATGGCGGAAGCAGTTGCGAATCGCTTCTGGCCAAGGTTGATCTTCTGGTGCCACTTGCGCCAGACCTTGGTTGGTGCGAACATGCGACCAGAACGGCACATGTTACCAAAGGCAGCTTGACCAGCGCGGTGAGTACCACCACCAGAGACGCGGGGGATACGGGCAACAGCGCGACCTGGGAAGCGCTGTTAGTATGTATGTTGGTGTAAGATTCTCCATGTTCCAATGCCATGTTTCATCTCTTTTCTCCATCTCTGTACGTACCAGTTCCCCAAGACTCAGCAGAGGTCTGGTGACCGGCCTTCTCGCTCACGGCGTATGGCTGGCGCTTGTTCTTGGCCATGCCGGTGTGCACCTGCCTGTTGTTCCATTAGTCCTTGCCCTCAATTCCTTCATGCTCGCGGAGGTGTAATTCGTACTGGACAATGTCTGGGCGGATTGGCGCCTTGAAGACATTTGGGAGCGGGTGGGTGTCCTTGGATGGAGCACCATCGGCACCGATGATCGTGACGGTTGGGCGAGACGACATTTTTGCTGTGGTGTTAGTATGCAGCGTCGTGGAGTGTTGCTCGTCGCCAACTGCTGGAGTTCGAATTCGACGTCGGAGACGAATCGCACTTGACAATTTGCAGCGTGCCAAGACAGTGGTCGGCGAAAGGATTTGCCGACAAGCGAGAACTCAATCTGGCAGCCGAGGACGGTCGGACTTCTCTCACGGCATGAGTGTGACGAAGTGTTCTCAATTTGCAGTCTTGACTTGAGTACATGTACAGTGGACGCCCTCCAACTGACACTGACAGGCTCAGCGAACCGTTTTCGTAGCACAGTTTCGTTGGCGCTGTCCTACATTCCGCGCTCGCTGTCCTAAACGTTGGCGCTGTCCTAAAGATACTTCCAGCCTACCTGCTCATCACAAGGCGAGTGCATCTGATCGTAGGGCACCTTGCCGAAGCCACTGAACTCTCATCTCTTCCGTCAGGCCGGAGTCTTACTAATACCGCTTTCTATACCATCCGCACGCGGCCGGCTGTTGTTCACTCACTGCCGTCACTGCCGTTTCAGCAAATCACACCCTTGACCATGACTTGCAAGATCCGAATTGACTTTGAGCTTCCCCAATGCCCGTTATCTGCCAGACGCATTTATATGAGCCCGTCGAAGCAACTCCACCTGCGACATTTCACGATCACACTCCACCAACATGACGAAGCCAAGCGATTTCATAGACAAATACTCCTTACCGCGCAACGAGATCGAAAGCGCGCGTCTAGAACAGCAGCATAGATTAATCATCCAGAACCTAGGATTCATCCTCCACCCTCGCATCGAACAAGCCTCACCAGAAAACGCACGCATCGCAGATGTCGCCACAGGAACCGGAATCTGGATGCGAGACCTCTCTGCAAAAGCCCCCGAGACCTGGTCCTTCACCGGCCTAGACCTTTCCAACGCCCAATTCCCACCACCAGACCAGCAATCACACTGCAACTTCGAAATCTTGAACATCCTCGAACCCATCCCAGAAAAATTCCTCCAAGCCTTCGACGTCGTCCACATCCGCTACCTAATCGCCGCTCTAAAATCCCACGAATGGCAAATCGTAGCGCAAAATCTCCTCCGTCTTCTAAAACCCGGGGGGCACGTCCAATGGCTGGAGTCCAGATTCGGACATTTCGAATACCTGCAGAGCGCACCTGGCAACTCGACGTGCCATCTCAAAAAGCTATTCCAGATGATGCTAGATTTCGAGGCTTCGGAAGGTAAACTTCTGGCAAATTGTATCTCTCCAGGACTGAAGAACACCGTGCAGGAAAGTGGGTTTATCGATGTGCAAGAAGATGTTTTTGCCTCGGATCGGGTGGCGGAGAATCGGAAGGAGACGAATTTAGTCTCTGTGCAGGCTGTTTATCAGATTATTCAGCGGTTCTTAAGACAACGGGGGATGGGGGAAGAGGAGCAGGCTGCTGTTGATGAAATTTATGAGAAGGCTGTCCAGGAGATTCATGATGGTGCTTATACTTGGTGGACGATGCATTGTGTGACGGCGCGAAAGCCTCTGGACGATCAGGTGTAGTCTTTCTTGTCGGTAGCTCTTCTTCTTCAATGTCATTTGTGTCACCTTTGGTGTCCACTATTGGTCGTGGTGCCTACTTTGGCGCTCTGCTATGGTGCTCAAATGTGCTGTTAGCAAGGCGCTGACTACGGTTTCAATAATGCTTCGGAGTGGCTGGAGATGTCTATCTGTACCGCTCATATAGCTTCTCGAATTGTTGTTCTCGATCTCTACGAGAGTGAGTGGGCGGGCGGTTCGCAAACACGCATTGTACATCACAACTCTTTCTTTGCACCTTCTTTGACATCTTCCGTCTTCCTCTCCAAGGCCGCGGCCACTCTTTGCCTCAGCTCAGCAGCATCCGGCAGTGACTGGCTTCCCTTCCGCTTCTTGACCTCTTCCACAATCTCATCAACCATTTCATCAAATTCTTTGCCAGGCTCTGATGGCACGCCCAACGTCGCTCCTTGCAAGCTTTCCATACTATCGGTTTTCTTGAGTTCAGGCCGTGTGCTTCTGGCCTTGACCTTTCTTGCAAGCCACGTCTTACCTGGCGTGACCAAGAATCCGCTGCAAAGAGCAACGCCGATGACGCAGTAAAAGTAAACGCGGCCCCAGGCTAGCAAGCTGTCGTGTATGGTGAGAAGTATGAAGGGTGTGGTGACGAAGGAGAATGCGAGCTGTGTTACTACCCAGGTGAAGAAGTCGTAGTAGGGCTTGTACTTGGTCGGTTTCGAGCCATCTGGTGTCATGAAGAACGGACGTAGTAGGCGACGAGCGTCTGAAGATGCGTTAGCGTATGAAGTAGTAGGTCTAGAAGGAAACTCACTCTTCGCAACATTCTGCACAAAGCTTGCCAGGACGAATGTCAGGTAGTATCCAGGTGCGAAGCCATGCCAAAAGGCGCTAGTGACAAACGTGGCCATACTTGCTCGGAAGCCTGGCTTCTTGCCTTTGGGAGTGACTCGGAGGTAGATGTAGTTCCTCAACCAGTGGTTGGTATTGATGTTCCAATTGCCAAGATAAGCATGAGTGTTCTGTGCCAACTCAACACCCAGTGGCTTGATATTGGTGAGCCTGCCCCAATCAGCCTTGCCTGTCTTTGGATCGATTCCCTTAAAACCGATGCCAGCCAGAATACAAGCGCCTTCAGTCAGGGTCCAGACTCCATAATATTTCATGCGCTGGACGAAGTTCATCATGTATAGGTAGAAGACACGCATGAAGAAGTTCCTGTCTTTGAAGTGGTCGTCCAGCAGCACTTCTGGTCCAAATGAGCCCCAGAACTGGAGGAAGGCTACAATCCAGATGACTCCAGTCACGAGCTTGAACATGGCCGGTGTCGCACTGCGTGGAATCTTGCGCTTCTTGCGTGTCGGGGGTGCTTTTGCAGGATCCATTCCGGGCGGTAGATCGAACATAGTTGTCGTGACCCATCGCTCGTAGTCGACATAGTCGAAAGCAGGACCGGCAAAGAGTGATGGGAAGAAAGCGACAAAGCCGGCATAGCTCAGCGGATCTGGTAGTTTCTTGATGGCGCGCTCCTTTTGGACATCGTTAAGGTCGGAGTCTTTTTGCTTGCCATCCCAGACATTCCAGCAGAAGGCAGATAACTTCATGACCATGACCATCTGGGCTCCAGTGATGTCCACGGAGCTCGGGCTGTCTGCGATCATGCGGTAGATGTGGCTAACGGACATGTGGCCCATAAGGAACACAAAGCCAAGCCATGGCATATATGGGCCTTCGATATAGGCAGCGATCAGGTATGTACCGATGGCATCGAAGAGGACAACTACAAGTCCACCCCAAAGGTCAAAGAGCCCAACTAGGTAAAAAAGCGCGACGCTGAAGGAAGTTAGCACTACGATCCTATCGTGGGGAGGAGAACTGACGAGATGTTGAAGAGATTCCGTATGTATGGCTTGTCATCTGGCAGTCGTTTGAGCACTGCCGCGAGTGGGTATGATATCAGGAAGGAGCATATGAGTTTGACTGTGCCGCATCAGTGAATGTTCATGGCATGCTCCAGGCTGTTTTGAGAGACCGACACTCGTCTGTCGAGGCGCCTATCTTTCCTGCGACATATTCAAATGCTGCGAAAATGTCAATAAGCTGCTGCTTGCTTGCGTGACAAGGCTTCTCCCCTACGGTAGTTGAGATATGGCAGCATACTGTCTTCCGGAGTGGTGCCACTTGGCCGTTTGCTGAGGTGGTAGGAGCTGCGTGTTGTCACCGGAGGTCTATCTCATCTTGCAAACGGTCGTCGGGCGTTCCCAAATACAGCAGGCAATAGTCCGAGCAGTGTAGGCAGAGATGGGCGTGCAAATGCGAGAAGATGTTCACCGGCTGCAAGCCCGACGTCATTCAAGCCAAGCCCGACAGAGCTCGAGAGCTGTTCACGCGCGACGCGATTCCGCTTGCGATCAGATGTTGTTTACTTCAATTGTTTTGGGGAGCAAGTAATCGCGATCACGAAACGAGTACGATACCGAGACGGGTGCAATTTGGACAGTGAATCCAGAATCGAGTTTCCCGTTCCTCACGCTATCGTGCTGTGCTACTCTCTCTTGTCCTCTCATCGGGTATTGCAACATTCCAAGCCCAAACAATGTTCGCCAGACGCCTCGCTTAGCACAATGATTCCGACATGCACACCAACAGCTCTAATTCAGCACGATGCGCATGCTATTAGCCAAGACCTCCCCAGACGCCGCGTATCCTCCGTGCCAACTGGATATCCTTTTGCATGATGGTTACGCGCTTCGCGTGAATAGCGCATAGATTCGTGTCCTCGAAGAGATGCACTAGGAATGCTTCTGCCGCTTCTTGGAGAGCTTGGATGGCTTGTGACTGCCATCTTGTAACTTCCGATCCTGGCGGCGCAACATTGAGACAAACCTCGCGTACCTGGTCGCATCGTTAGAGAACATTCTGCAGAGGGACTAATGTTTGTCGGATAACTCACCAGTCGCGAGAAGGGTAGCTTGGCCATCAGAAGATCCGTCGACTTCTGGTATTGTCTGATCTGCCTCAAAGCCACTGTGCCAGGCCTGTATCTCTTCTTCTTCCGTGGACTTTGTTGCGCGCTGGCAGCGCCGCTACTTTTTCTGGGCCCTTTGCCGCTGGTGGAAGGACGTTTCCCTCCTCTGGTTGGTGTCGAGGTACTGCCCGTGCTCTTGCGCCCCGAAGACGCTGCTGCCGTTCGTGCCATGTTCTAAGATCTGAATATGCGTGTCCCAATGCCACACTTTCGCTGTTGCAGTGTCGTTCCGCTCCGATGCTCCGCTCCCTCCTACTCAATGCCGGTGCTGAGGCTTCAGTCGCGTCGCGTGTCGCATCCGCTTTTTGCGATGCACTTTGGTGAAACGCGGTGTGACAAGGAAGACGCAGCTGCTTGTCCGCGCGTACTCGTTGAAAATCGATTTCGAGGTCGTGAAAGATGTGTACGCTTTGGGGCGCGCAGTCTTCGTCTGGTCCGAAAGTCTTGTTGTTTTGCCCAGCTTCCCAGCCAGCTTCCCAGCCACACGACCCTGGCTCATGGAATGCACGCTAGTGAACTTAGCTACAGAGCCGCATGCGACCGAGATGTGGGGGCGACATCGGCTTGTTGGCTTGTTGGCTCTCACTTCCGGCATGTGTTAACAAGTGTCAAAGGAAAAGATCGACCTGCGCTTACCACACAAACACAACTCTCAACCTCCCCCACATAAGTTGATCTCCATACACCTCATCCTTCATCGGCACCACGACATACGATCCAACGACATACGATCCAACGACATGGCGGCAGTGGTGAACGGTGGAGGCGATGGCGCGCTTGGAGGACTACCTTTGGAGCAGTGGTTCTTCGAGATGCCCATTTGCACAAGATTGTGGACATCAGCGACAGTCATAACAGGAATCTTGGTACAGTGTCAGGTTTTGACACCTTTCCAGCTCTTCTACAGCTTCCGCGCAGTCTTCCACAAGCAACAGGTATGCGCATCAGGCCGGGAGATTCAGCACGAACGCTTGCTAACAGCTTGCACAGTTCTGGCGATTAGCGACGACATTTATCTATTTCGGTCCGCTCTCCCTCAACCTCCTCTTCCACATATTCTTCATCCAGCGCTATGCGCGCATGCTTGAAGAGTCAGCCGCCTCAGTCGCACATTTCAGCTGGCTACTCGCATACACCTCAGTCACACTGCTGGCCATTGCCCCACTCTTCAGCCAAGCCTTCCTGGGCACGACCCTCAGCAGCACATTGGTGTACATCTGGTCGAGGAGAAACCCAGACACGAGGCTAAGCTTTCTTGGACTGCTCACATTCAAGGCTCCATGGCTACCATGGGTGCTTGTTGCGTTCAATGTGGTACTTCACGGACACTGGCCTAAGGACGAGCTATGTGGAATTGCTGTTGGACACGGTAAGGACACAATGCCTCGCAGTGCTTTGGTCATCACTAACGGAAGGTAGTGTGGTACTTCTTCAACGACATTTACCCAACAGCGCACAACGGCTCGCGGCCTTTGGACCCACCCCAGTTCTGGATCAGGCTATTTGAGCGAGACGCGAACCCAGCACCTGACAGCGAGGTGCACCCTGCAGCGCTTAATAGAGACATTGCGGCACCAGCAGTACCAGACATGAGGTAAATGGCTACAATGCACATACAGTAAATAACACGATGTTACGAATGATGCCAGAAAACATGTCAGACCACGACAGCGAGCTGCGAAAGGTGAGGTCATACAGCCAAGCTTCAGGTGCAAGGAGCGATTCATGGGAAGGCACGAGCCACGTGTTCCATCGCAAGCTTAATCGTACGTCTAAGTGAAAGCTAGTCAATGGCAGGACTGGATTCTCGAAGCAGACGTGCTTTCTCAAATCACAGGACTCCTCTGGCAACCGGGTTCTGACGTTAATTTGCGTCCTACGCTCGAACACCTCCGGTACTAGCATTTCGATCTATCTCAGCTGTCTACACATATGGAAATCCGCAGACTCTGCTTCGTTTGATCTCGAGACTCTGTGGCCTGTACGTCGGAATCGCACATGCGACTCTTCAATATCGGGCTCAACGTGGATGCATACGGATGTTGGCAGAATCTGCTTCTTTGCACCTAACGGCTCTCGAGGCTATACATTGGAACAACGAGTTCTGCTCCTCTTTTTTTGACGATACTGAGCGGCTCTCGCTCAACATTATCTGCATCGATCACTATCACAAGTGCGTAGTGACATGCTAGAGACTTTCACAATAGAATCCGCAGGGCGGCGAGAGATCCGAGACTTCGCTATCTCGCGCAGTGATCCTTCTTTTGACAACGCTGGGCTAGAAAGCCTACTGGAGCCGTCATCCGCCTTCTGTCTCCGGGTGGCCTGTTTATTTTTGCCCAAACAGGTAATTGAGGAGGCTATGACTGCCCACTCTAGCATGAAGTCGGGGCATCGTTTGAGCAGGCCCAGCAGAGCACATAACAATACCTTTACGTTTGCATGCAGATCTGTAAGATACAAGATAGCATCCACTTTGGGAATGTGCATCCGACACTAAGCATCCTTCAGCTTCCATAGGGCGTGGAGAGATGCCCGTACCGATATCCCATCGGCCAGTGACGAGGGAGGGCAGACCAACCGAAAGATCTCACAGGACTAGATCCTCCAACAAGTAAATCATGTATAGAATGCCATCTTCCATCACCTTCTTGACATTCGTCCTGTTCATCACACTCCATCACGCCTTGCCTACACGTAACAGCCAAGCAGGACTATCTCGCGAATGACGTACAACTACAAAAGAACAAATCATTCTCTCGGAATCGATAACCGTAGAAGGATTGCGTACAACGCAAGAACACACGATTCAATCGTATGAAGGAAGATTGCATACCTTACCTCGAACAACAATTCGCGAACGATCAAAATCGATCCGAACCGCAACCATGCACCACACCCCCCAAGACCTCGAAGCCTCCCCCTCCCCCCTCACCTCCCCACCCCACAAACCCTCCCTCCAATCCCTCCACTCCGCCAACTCCGTCGCCGAATTAGGCCACATTGAAGAAGCCCTAACCCGAAAATTCGACACACGGTCCATGTTATCCCTCGCCTTCTGCGTCTTAGGAACATGGTCAACATTTGCTCAAGGCCTCTCCTCGGGGCTGAAAAACGGGGGTCCGGTGGCGATCCTTTGGGGTTTGGGACTTGTGTTTTTTTGTAATATGTGTGTGGCGGTCAGTCTGGGGGAGTTGACGAGTTGTATGCCGACGGCGCTGGGACAGGGGTATTGGGTGCATAGACTTGTTGATAATGGGTGGGGGAGGGGGGTTAGTTATTTGTGAGTAGATTTTTTATTTTATTTTATTCAATGTCGGGGTGTTTTTAATGATGATGGGGTGGAGGTGGTGATTGATGATCTAGCTATGCCTTGGAGTCAAGTATCGTCTAGGGCATCGCTGACGCTTCTTCGTTTGCTTAGGACTGCGTGGATCAACAC